TGAAATCACACATAATAAAATGGTATAAACATTACAACAAGAAGGAATTCAAAAGTAAAACATGAAATGTTGAACGAAAAGATAGAATACGATACGTAATTCTATGTTTTCGCTACTGACAAATATCAACATAAATGCATCGGTATTTCACAACATTTGGTTATCGAGCTCACAACTCGAGAGGAAACAATTTCCTAGCGTTGCTCACAAGGGCGTAAAGGAAAAGTGAATGTTTGAAAGCGTTTTTCGACCCGCCAATCGAAAAATTCTTTCTTTTTGTAGTGCGTATGCTTGCGGCAAACTTACTTCGTACCAGTAGCCGCTGCGTTAATGAATTTTGTGAGGTTGCTACTGGCACCTTTCGCTCATTACGAGGGAGACCAATCCGTTGCTTGTCTCAGACGCTCTGAACGTCTGAGATTAGGCTCACTAGAACGTGGAGTCTCTGCCTCTGTGTGACTAGATTGTGGTTGCACAGAGACTTCACGCTCCTGCGGCCTGCTGTAATACAATTTGAGTCTGTTCACATGCACCGTTTGTGACTTATTGTTGAACAGACTTTTAATGGTGACATTGGGACGGCACATGGAGACAATCACAAATGGGCCTTTCCATTGAAGGGAGAATTTGGGACGCACTGTGTCGTCATGCAACAATACAAGATCCCCAATGGAAAGGTCCTTACTGTATACCTTCTTCTGGTAATCGTAACCAGCTTTGTAGTCAGCTGTTTTCGCTGCTATGCTGGATCCCACTTCCACAATCGTAGTCTGCAAGGCTGTCGCGAACTGGCCTGCGAAGTTATCTGTGGCAAAAGTAAGAGTAGAAGGTAATTTGTGAATAACGTCCATCCATGTGACCGGATGTCTACCGTGTATCACAAAGAACGGGCTGTACCCTGTCGTATCGTTTTTGCTACAATTGTAAGCAAAAACGATGGGCTGCAGGAATTCCGTCCACAAGTCTCTGGCTTCTGAGCAGTAGACTGTGAGAGAATCCGTAACAACTTTTACCATTCTTTCAACCTGGCCGTTCGCCTTGTGGTTGTAGCTTGTGGTAAAGTTGTTCTCAATTCCCAGAGTTTTGTTAACCTGAGTGAAAATTTCGCTCACATAGTTTGAGCCTCTATCGCTAACGATTTCGTTAGGGATCCCGTGCTTGGATACCACATCGTTAATGAGCGCTTTTACTACTAAATCAGCCGTCTGATTCACTAAAGGCGTACAGATAATGTACTTACTGAAAGCGCAGACTGTGATAGCTATGAATCTGCTACCATCAATACATTGCGGCAATGGTCCTATTACATCGCTGTGGATACGTTCAAAAGGACGCTGAGGAATGGGAAAAGTTCCCAGTTCCTCGCGAATGATATTTCCTGCTGGTGTTTTCACCTTTTGACAGGCTGCGCAAGATCTAACGTAATTTGCGATATCCTGATGCATGTTTGGCCAGTAGTACTTATCCGAGACCTTTATGTACGTTTTCGAATTCCCAAGTGGGAACCTAGCAAAGGATTATCATGAAGAAGTTTTACGATCTGATTCTGATGTTCAGGGTCGGGTATGACAAGTTTTGGTCTTTCGTTGGCCTTGTAGTACAATGCACCATTGAAAATGGAATATTTGTCTAATGAACTCAAAAACTGCTGTGGAGGGTTTTCAGCATTCCCTGTTAAGAAGGTGATCAAACTTCCAAAATAAGAATTTTGCTGGCTTTCCCTGATGGTATCTAAGCTAGGAATTGAGTCGGGAGTAGTAGAAATGTTCATTACTACCGGATAACGGCTCAAAAAGTCGCAAAAAGTGTTATGTTTACCCGGCCGATATTCAATTTTCAGATCGTAAGCTTGTATCATGATTTGGTATTTTGCTAAACGTCCAACAAGGTCTGATCTGTACAGTAGTGACTTTAACGGAGCATGATCAGTAATAAGTGTGATAGAGGCATTAGCAACATATGGGTAAAAATGTTTGAGCGCAAAGACTATGGCAAGCGCCTCAAGCTCTATGATTGAGTAATTTTGCTCATGCTTGTTCAGCGGGCGACTACAGTACGCAATTGGATGCTCATTTAGCGTTTGCGGGTTTTGCTGAAGTAAGCACGCTGCTAGACCTGTAGTCGAAGCATCCGTGTGGATAATGTACGGCTTGCCTATTATAGGAGATGCAAGAGTTGGAGCTGTAGTAAGCGCGCTTTTCAAAGAAACGAATGCATTTTCGTGAAGATCAGTCCATTGGAACGGAGCATTCTTTATGAGAAGAGCATTCAAAGGAGCGGCAACATACGAAAAGCGCGGTATGAATCTACGAAAGTACGAAGCTGCACCCAAAAAAGACTTGACAGCTTTAGCATCCTGAGGTCTAGGTATCTTGGTGATGCTAGCTATCTTTTCTGGATTTAATCTTGTTCCGCTCTTACTTATAAGAACTCCCAAGTATGGAACTTCTTCTTGCATAAAAGAGCATTTTTCCGCTGTGAGTTTCATGCCAAAATTTGCAATGCGTTGCAAAACTTCTTCTAGATCACGAAAATGGTCGCCTATGGAATGACTGGCGATAATGATATCATCCAAATAGGCGAAACAGCAAGCTTTCAATTCTCTTGTCAAGCTGTTTGCGACTCTTTGGAAAGTACCAGGGGCACCCTTCAAACCTTGTGCCATTACAGTGAAATGAAAAAGACCCAAAAATGAGGAAAATGCAGTCCTCTCTTTGTGTTTTTCTTCGAGAGGGATTAAAAGAAAACCACTTTTGAAGTCCAGAATACTGTGAACTTCTTTACCGCTCGCTAAATCAATGATGTCTTGAATATGCGGTATGCAGTAGGTTTCATTTTCAGTTATAGCGTTAATTTGACGATAGTCTACTGTAAAACGCCATTGATTAGTTGAAGGCTTTTTCACTAAAACAATAGGTGAAGCGAATTTACTAGTGCTCGGCTCTATTATACGCGTGCGGAGCATTTCCTCAATTTGTCTTTTGATTTCTTGACGCTTTTCCAAAGGTACCCTGTAGGGACGCTGTTTTGGAGCTGTTGCATGCGGAACAAACTTGATTTTGTGAGAAATAGGACCTGTGTACCTCCCTAAATTTCCATCCGATCCCACAAAGCACTTTTGATATTTTCTGAGAAGATTGTTAAATTGGAGAGATTGCTGCTTATTAAGTAAATTGCGATTTACTTTGACACGTTCCCATAAGGGTGTATTGTCAGTTTGATGTGGAAAAGTAGGAATATTTGCAGCTATGTCCGCCTCAGGTGAGGTGTAATGGACTGGATTTTGATAGGTATTAGAATTAGTAGAATTTGAAGGATGAATTTCAAAAACAGCTGGCCATTGCTGGGCAGAACCAACGAATTCAGCATTTGTGAGAATGTGTTTCACATCTAGTTCTACGTGATTAGGGTTAGAGTTGAAAATGCGTAGCGTAATTGTGCCACTTGAACCAGGGCATGACAATGTTTTGCCTATGACGACACCTGATGGTAAATTGACTGTAGGGTCGTCGCATGTTAGAAATTCCCAATCGGGAGGATAAGAAGATCTTATAGTGCCTTGTACAACAGTATCAGAAAGCGGTTTAAGAAGTGTTTTGCAAGATAGGTAAACAGGTTTGGTGAGCACGAGATCACTTCTTAAACCGCTTTCTGATACTGTTGTACAAGGCACTATAAGATCTTCTTATCCTCCCGATTGGGAATTTCTAACATGCGACGACCCTACAGTCAATTTACCATCAGGTGTCGCAATGATTTCGGACGTGGAAAAAGCATTTCTGCAAGTACGACTTCATGAAGCTGATAGAGATGCGACCAGATGCCTATGGCTACGGAACCACAGATCTCCACCTAACCCCGAAAATATCAAGACTCTTCGCTTCACACGTGTCACCTTCGGCCTCGTCACGTCACCCTTTTTACTAGCAGCGACGACACATTTTCACCTCGACCAATATCCCGAAGATCTGCTTCTCACAACGGAGATCAAAGAAAACATGTACGTCGATAATCTGATGATGACGGCTGACACCGAAGAAGAGGCGAATTATATTTACCAACGAACCAAAAGAATATTCAACGATCTGAAGATGAATCTCCGTGAGTACGTGACCAACAATGCTAACGTCGCTTCAAAATTCGACACGAAAGACGCATCTTCGGAAACCAAGCCGAAAGTTCTAGGTATCAGATGGAACTCCCGTGAAGACACCATAGATGTCTCATGTGCAATGGAAAATCACTCGGAAGTATCTAAAAGAAAGGTTGCCAGCATGATTGCTTCAGTCTACGACCCGATGGGATGGATGCTTCCTTTGATGCACAGAGCAAAGCTTTTCTTGCGAGAGCTATGGCAGATAAGTTGTGATTGGGATACGCCCTTGCCGCCCGATCTCTACAAAAAATGGAAGAAGATTTGTAAAGGCATGCATGGCTTTACAAAAACTCTGCCACGCTTCGTCTGCACAAGAATGACGGATGCTATTCTTATAACGTTCGCAGACGCAAGCGAGGAAGCTATCGCAGCATGCAGTTATCTACGGTTAGGATCCAATTTCACGCAACTTTTGATGGCAAAAGGGAAACTCCCTTCACTCAGAGGAAAATCGACTATACCGAAACGGGAATTGGATGCAGTGACGTTAGCGTTACGGATAACGAATTCAATCTTAACACAATTGCAATCAGTGCTACAAGTCAATCAAGTCTTCGTATTTTCTGACTCAGAGATCGTGCTAAGCTGGATAAGAAAGAACCCTTTGAAGGACGTTGGACCAGTGATATTCCGAAGGCTGCTTGAGATAAACAAGATTTTGAAGCATCTCAATGACCAGGGATACACAATTCATTTCCACTACGTCACGTCCGAAGATAATCCAGCAGACGCAGGCACAAGAGGACTAAATCTCGAAGAACTGCAAAACCACATGTGGTGGACAGGTCCGGAATTTCTCCAAAATCCACAGCAGCAATGGTCACAAAGCGATTGGCACGTCACAATGGAAAGCACCGTCAGGGACGGAGAGGAAGTCTCAGTGAAGGAAAAACAAGTTCTTGCAACTAGAACTGCCGAAGAGTGCCAAAGCGAGGGAGACACGGCAGTACTGTCATTGCTGCAGCGACGCACATGGCAGCAAACAAGGCGCATTGTAGCCTGGATCCTTCGCTTCGTCAGGAACGTTGTAGGACAGGCAAATACCAACAACCAGTCACCCATATTATTATCTACGCTACTTTCCGTACCGAGGAACGCCGTGGGAACAAGGCTAAACGGAAAGGAGATACTCATCGCAGGAAAGCTGCTCATAAGGCTTCATCAACAGCAAATAACCTCAAAAGTCATCAACTCCATGCAACGGCTGAATATCAAGAAAGATGCCGAAGGCCTTTTCCGATGTTATGGACGATTGGGAAACAGCGACCTAGATGATGACGCCAAAATTCCGTTGATCATCCTACAAAACTCGATGTTGGCGGAAAGAATCATCGACGACTGCCACGGCAGAGGACATCTATCCGTAAGCCATACTATGGCGAACATACGTCGGCAGTATTGGATACCAAAACTGCGAGCACAGGTCACGCGGTTTGTGAGACGATGTATACCTTGCCAAAAGTTCAACAATCTGCCTTACAAAAATCCGGAGCAGACAGATCTTCCTGCGAGACGAGTGCAAAAATCTAGACCGTTTGAGCATGTCGGATTGGATTATTACGGACCCTTGCCAATTGCACTACCTGATGGAACAGATGGTAAATGTTACGGAAGCATAATCACGTGCATGACCACAAGATTAATCCATCTGGACATAGTTTCCGACATGTCGACAACAGCCTTCCTCTGGATGTTGCGGCGCTTCTTTGCAAGAAGGGGAGTTCCACGATCAATCACCAGTGATAACGCTCCCACGTTCATGCTAGGAGAAACTATACTCAGAGAAGCGATTCAAGCTGCCGAAAGCGATCCTGCTATTGAGCGTGAAGTACTCGACAAGGAAATTGAGTGGCACTACAATACTCCATACGCACCGTGGCAAGGAGGCTTCTACGAACGTCTGATAAAGTCCGTAAAGCAAACACTGTACAAAACTCTGGGCAAATGCGTGCTAAGCTTCAAAGAGCTAACTACGGTTACCATTGAGATCGAAGCGATCCTGAACACGAGACCCCTGTTATACGTGGAATCAGAATTCGCAAACGAAAAGATATTAAGGCCGATCGACTTCTTACAAAATGAGATGAGGATCTCTTATCCACTGGATGCGGTAAATGATGAAGGAGAGGATCCGTCTTACTTGCCACCAGCTGAGAAAGCCTTGCTTCGTACAAAGGCGCAAGCAGTCCAAGCCTTGCAATCTTCTTGCAAACTGACCGAGAAATTTTGGCAGCTGTGGCGAAATCACTATTTGACAGCCCTCCGAGAAAAACATCAACGTCAAGTAGGAAGTCAAAGAAGTTCGAGCTATACTCCGAAGGTCGGCGAAGTTGTCTTGCTGTGTGATCCAGTCCAGCCAAGATATGCCTGGAAAGTCGGACGGATAGAAGAACTTGTCAAAAACACCGAAGGAGTTGTGAGAGAAGCTCTGGTCCGCCGGCCGCTTAACCTTCTTGTACCACTAGAATTAGAAGAGGGGGTCAACAAGCGCAAGAACCCACTACTGCAAGTACCGACAGTAGCAATGAACAAGAGGAAGCACACCCCTCGCGATATGATCTGCGACCTCACCGGAGGATGGATTACAAAGGAATGAACGCGATGCCAATACAAGTCAAACACTTCCAGACGAACGCGCTCCTACTGATCTGTCTTCTGAGTGCATTTTGCGGAAATGCGAATGCATTGGCGAAGGTACTAGCGAAGAAAACACATTCAATTAAATGCATTCCAGGAGGAGTTGAGTTGCTTTCCAAGGAAACTGTCCCATATGAGGTCTGTGCGAAGACTATTGCAAATCAATTTCAGCGCCAAAGACAAATGAAACTATCCATTTTCCGCCACAAGTAACGCTCTATGAACAGTTTGTCCAGTGGAAACTTCTGTACAATGAAACGATCAGGATAATAGAAACTACCTGCCCGCCAACTCCGTTCTGCGACCAGATCGATTGCATACTCTGTTCAGCGGTCATTTTCAATCCTGAATGCTGGCCTGTTGGAGCGATCGTAGCGACTACAATAGCCATCTACTTCTTCATAACTGGATGCTACGTATTCTGCTATGTGCCGCTCACGCTCGGGAAGCCATGTCGGATCGCATTACGCCTTTTGTGGAACGGCATCAGGAGCATTGTTCGCAGTGGGTGCCGACCTTTACAACGAGCACGAAGACGACAGCAAATCCGAGCATCGGAACTTATAGAATTACTTGCTATTGTCGCCGTAATGAGCATGACAGTCGGTACAGCAGAAGGATGTCAATTAGTGAATCTCTTCTCGCACAAGTCTGCCGTGTGCACAAAGGCAAATGGAACCGAGATTTGCAAGATTCACGTATCGGAAGTCCTCAAAATCAACCCTTTCAAAAGAGAGGCATGTTTCAGGATAATAAGGAACAATTCAACCATTCATGAAGTGAGGGCATCATGGAAACTGCTCAGTCTTACCTGCGAACAAGAGCACGAAATGTACACTCGGGACACGATCTACAATGTGGTGGACAGCAAAAGATGCCCGCATGTAGGTTCCTGCGTAGGAAACAAATGCGCGTCTATAAACGCCACAAGCCTCTTACCGGAGCTGGAGAAAGGGAATCACTATCCAGGAATCACGACCTGTGTCGAATCCTGTGGAGGACCAGGGTGCGATTGTTTCTATTGGAGCTCAGGCTGCCTTTTCTATCGCATCTACCTCACCCCAGTTTCCCCACAAGTGTTCGAAATTTTCCACTGCAACCGCTGGACGCTGGCGGCCAAAGTCAAGTTTACAAACTTTGATGCAATACAAGGAGTGACACGCATATTTACTGCAATCATGGTTCCCAATGTACCCATCATCTGGAATGCGTTCACACTCACGTTAACCTCGGTAACCATCCCACCAATCCCGCTGCTAAACACAGCTTTCATCACCGATGGAAACAACACGGCACTCTGGAATTCCGTGATGTTACCGCCTCTTTGGTGCACCAACAAAACTGCAGCAGAACAACTGGACTGCACGATTATAGACAACTGCCAATGTGCACCAGCGGAAGTCCAAGCTAACTGCAAATGCCGAGACGTAAGCATCTCTGAGATGTTTGGGGACGTCAGAAATCGTCTGCCAGCTATATTTCCAGCGGTTTCATTCAAGCAAAACGACGAAGGACAAGTAAAAGCTGAGGTACAGAGCCTAACGACAGCGGAGATCATCGTAACCATCCAAGAAAATGTACGAACAAATGTGGTGGTGGATAGCACAGTCTGCACAATCGCGGGTGCAATTCTAACAGGTTGCTACAAATGCGCCAGGGGCGCAAAAGCTACAATCAAGTGTACGGCACCAAAGCAAACTCAAGCCGAAATCATCTGCGAGTCTGCCAGTTTCACTGTGGACTGCGACCAACAAGGAGCGCTTTCGGAGCTTCAGTTCAGCCTAGATCGAGCGAGAGTGCAAATGACATGCTCAGTGTCTTGTGGAACCATTGTAACAACTTTTGAAGTAGGAGGCATTCTCAGATTCACACAAACAGCTCATGGAATGATGACACAATGGCTGTCTGGAAACGGAGACCAAGCAGCAAAAACTCAGTGGCCAGATTTTTGGCACATCGCGGAAGTCTTCCTGCAGTGGTACAAAACGCTGATAGTAGCAGTAATCGCGCTACTAATCGTTTTGGGAATCACCTACGCTTGTTTTTCACTGCAAGGAGTGTGTTGTGGATTCCGCTTTCTTAAAGGAATTATGCTGCTCATACTACTGTTTTTTCGTCTTCTATGCCGACCTTTCTGCCTATTGCAGTCAGAAATCAAAGAAAAGCTTCATGAGAAACTCCTCTAAGATTTTGCGATATTATTCTCTGAAAAAGGCAACTTATCATCATCCTTCACCCGTTGATATCGTTCTACCGCCTCCACCACCGCCAGCTGAAACTGAGTCAGTCGATTTTAACGTCACCGAAACCATCGTTCTACCGAAGAGTTCTGACAAACTGGATTTCTCAAGGAGATGGCTTCAAGACGATCTTATGTCGTTGGCTCATCAGCCACCGGTACCCATTATGATGATGCCAAAGCAGTGCTCAAATTACAACGACGTCTATGAGCATTCATTGGGCAGCTGCTCGGCCGAAATTGCTGCTCTTAACCTAGCCGAAAAAGAAGACGCTAGAAGCAGAATATGAGGACGAAGGCGAAGGAGATGATTGATGGAGAATAACGATCATCAAGCAGGCCCGGAGTGTCGAGAAACTCGACCGATAATTTCTATATTTTCTCGGCATTTTCTGTTTGATGATTCATTTTTGATTGCCTTTGAAAGCTGAGTGCGCGGCAAGCTCTTTCTTTGTACGCTGCAGCTGCGCCGAGAATCAAGTAAAAAGTAAGGGGGGCCGCAGCTGGCGACCTCCTCCTTTCGTTCTTGACTCAAGTCATTTGATTGTCATTGCTTCATCTTATTTGGTTGTCTTATATTTACTTACATTCTTAGTGCCTTTACTTGCTTATGGTTCAGGTAGACAAAAACATATCAAGTATTTTATCCCTAACGTTTGCCATAATCAGAATCTCATGTTAAGCTGGTATTTTATTTTGTGTGCATTATCGTTTATTTGAATTTTATAGTTGTTAATAAAGGTTTAATTACCCAAGTTTGAGGTAACATCTCCTCGTGCACAACTCCGCTCTAAAGTCCCGCGTGGCAGTTGATATTTTGGTGACGTGGTCAAGTGGTATTAGACGATTATCGTACTGACTATATATACCTCGTCCCAACCTCATTACAGGGGGATTACGGATCTGAAACGCGAAAGTGCTATCGAACCACGACCAGATCCTATCAAGATTTACCTACCCAAGTACTGAAACCCGTCTGTGCCTTAAATAGGGCTTCCAGGAATCGGGGCCTTTTGGGATTTTGGACAACTTGAACTTCATGACTGCAATTAGGGCAATGGAAAAGCCCCAGAACGACAAAAACATAAAAGACAAAAATTGCGTGGACGCTGCCTTCAAAACCTGATATAGCATGAATTTTGACAACTTCAAGTAACACGTTGGGACATCTTCTACATTTGTTGACTCTTAAGTTGAAGTTTTGCTCCTCTGTGTGTTGGTAGGTAAAATTTTTTCCAATTAGTACCGTTGGCTCTGTGTTCTTTTACTTAACAATTGCCATACATGCAAGCCACTTCGAAATCTGCATTTACAGGAAAAAAAATTTTTTAATTTCCTCACATGTCAAGGTGGAACTTTTCATAGAAAGAATCCATGTTGAGTCATTCGTCTTCGTCGCCGAGTAGTATTGTCGTATACTGATTGTTATAGCCAGCGCCTTCGGCCTCATTTGTTGTATCACGTACATTTTTGACCTCGACCTTGCAGATGCCAAAATAGACCTCGACAGAGTAAGGAGCCTTTTTTTCAAGCAAGCATCCTACATTGATCGTTCCAAGCGATACCTGAAAAGTTATTTGTTCAGTGTTTAAAACACATGCTTACAAGAAATTCAAACCACTTCGGACATTTAAGTCCGTGCTCAAAGCCAGGAGACTAGTGTTTTCAAGTAAAGCAGCTTCCCTGCGAAGACCTCCAATCTTTCAGATAGTCGATACCGGAGCAGACCAGGTAAACTATTTTGGAAGAGCTAATACTATTCACGTCATTGTGAGTTTTGCGCACCTGCCGCCTCTCTGCTATGCAACGAACTGAAGATCAAAAACGACCATATTTTCACTCTATAGGTAGTCTTCTAGTTTGTCAGATATTGCGCACATATTGTATGTACACGAAGTAGTGGTAGTTTATTGGCAGCTGTATACTATCTTGTAGAAATTTCTTACGCATAGGATGAACTTTTTGCATACTGCTTCAAAACTTAAGATTAAATATTGCAGGTAAGCAAAAAACCAGTGTGTTTGGATCAAATAAGCACTACCAAGGGGTGAGGGAACTTATGAACCCGAGCCTAATTAGCTCGACTCGGGAAGTGCCTGCAGGATAAAGTCATGCTCGCTGTCTCCGACTGCTCCCTAGGACATGGCGACAATCTAATCCCCGCCCCCCTGAGAGCCTGTTTGGAACGTAGCCAAGGAATGCTGAAAATCTCAATTGAATTTCAGGGAGCTGGCTCTTAGCCAAAAACCTTCAAAGTGATTGTACGAAGGTGAAATTAGGCTCAAACGAAAGAGAAAAACCGTGCCATGATCATAGAGTATCTACTGATTGAAACTGATTGAACACAACATTACCTTGATTCAAAACTTTATTCAAGTGTTAAATTACTGAGAAATTATTCAACAAACCGTCAAGCTTTGCAAAAAAAATATTTAAGTGCTAAATTCCGGGCAAAAAAGATAGAATATCATTCTAGAAATGACAGTTGAAAACTTCTCAAGATTGATAGTTATTTAAGTGCTGAAAGTTAGACGAAAGACTAAAAAATCACTCACGAAACGACAGTTTAATCAAACTCTCAAAAAAGGTTGTTTGTGCGCGGAAGTTTGGGCAAAAGACTAGAAAATCATTCAAGAAATGACAGTTCAAGAACTCCTCAAAATGATAGTTCTTTTGAGTGCTGAATTTCGAGCAAAACACATCAAGAAATGCCATTCAGTAGTTAAAACACTACCAGTAAATAAATGTTTTTCATCCTTTACTCTTTTATTTATAAGGAAAATTTCGCATTAAACTGTTATTGCAACCTTTCCTTGCTGTAGGCTGAGGTCTTTGCTTACAGCATATTAGCAGGATGTTCTTGGCACATCAGAATTTTCTGTCGTTGAGACAGACTTAGCAATATCCAAGTGAAGTTTTCGAACTGTCATTTCCTGATTTTTTAGTCA